GAGCTGATTTTTTTATGCGTTCATTGCAAAATGGTCTCTGTCTGTCCATGATAGTAACCATAGGAAAAATCTGCGAACTTGAGTCTCTAGGAACATTCTTTCCTGGACCATTTCTTCTTTCTGTCTATGTAAGGAGTGTATTACAGTGGAAAACACAAGCAAGGTCAAGGGTATTGTTTGAGCTGTTGTTGGCTCTAGGCTAGTCTAGCTTATAGAAATGCAAGGAAACAAGTGGAATTCCCCCCAAAGTTCACTTTCACTGCAACTTTTCAAGCTAAATAAAAGGGACGGTATTTTCACTGTTGTGTAAGATGTTGTATTTGCTCATGATTGCCTGTTTGTCTTAGAGCACAGTCTCAGAGGTAGCTGTTCAGTTGCGCTAAGCATCTGATCCCTCAATTCTATTACCTTTTTATTTAATATAAACAGTAATAAGAATGATGGTAAATCCTTTCAATATTGTTTGCCACTGTTTTAAATACAGGATCTCATGGTATCTCCTAATAGCTGTTATGGTTTTTATTATCGTATTCCTCTAACAAATGAACAAACCAACAGAATGCCAAGATGACATCTTAGATTCCAGAATGACACAAGAATGGCTGGGATGTAAATCTTGATGGTCCAGACTCAGCGTATCTACACATCTTATTGTGTTTAAAAAATTTATTATTTATTATTTTTATTTTATGTGTATGCGTGTATTGCCTGCGTGTAGGTAAGTGCACCTGTGTCATGCAATGCCCACAGAGGGCAGAAGAGGCCATTGGATCCCCTGGAACTGGAGTTACGGACAGTTGTCAGCTGCCATGTGGGTGCTAGGATTTGAACCCCGGTCTTTTGTAAGAACAACCAGTATTCTTAACCGCTGAGCCATCTCTCCAGCCCCCTATTATTTATTATTTTTATGTTATGTTTATAAGTGTTTTGCCTTCATGCATGTAAGTGCACCACATGTGTGTCTGTTCAGGCCAGAAGAGGGCATCAGATCCCCTGAAACCAGAGTTACAGAAGGTTGTTAGTTGCCATGTGAGTGCTGGGAACCCAACCCAGGTCCTCTAGAAAAACAGCTCTGAACTGCTGAGCTATCTCTCCAGCCCCCATTTTGTCTTAGTTTTGATTCTAATTGATGAGATTTTAATTTATCATGGTAGCTAATAATAATAAAATGGAGGAAAGCACAGTGCTGTATTGGGGTACATTTCTCTCATCTGTATTCTAAATGTCCCTGAGCAATTTTCATACTGAAAAGAGAAATGACACAGACAACCCTATCATTGACAGAAATCTAGGGAGACTCAAACCACTCAGTGAGGTATACACTTCGTTTTTAGCATTTGAGAAGATGTCCTTGAATAAAATACTGTTTTCATCCTCTTTTTTTCCATCTCATGCTCTCTCGCCCTTAGGAAACCATTGCTAATGTGTTCCATAGATTTTATGCTTACTTCACCAAGTGTGAGCAAACAGGAATATGCCTACTCCACACATTCTTAAATATAGAATGTGACCTACTTTGTCCTTGCCTCTGTTATTTTTTGCTTTTCATTTGACAATATATTTCATTATTTTTGTACCTTTATCATATTAGTTTGTATAAATATATTCTAAAATTTACCCAACACTCTCTTCATAGACATTTGTATATTTCCCTCCCAATTCTTGCTATCCATTAACAAACCGTGAAGAGTCAGTCCTTTATACATGTAAGAATTTCTAAAGTGTATCTTCACAGAGGTATGATATGTGGATCAAATATAGATCATTCTTTATTTTTGACACATTTTGGCAGTTGCTTTTGATAGGGAAAATAAGTAAAGGTTTAAAGATTTTTATATTATTATATTCATCTTCATATATTTTTGGCCAAGTGCATGGCATCAAAGCATTCAACAAAATGTTTATTTTAGGCTTATTTTATTGTTCTCCAACTCTACTTATTTTTTGCTGAAAAGTGTTAGCTTCATTACTGAGTTATAATTTTGAGGCTAAAATTATGTGAAGAAATTATGAGAAAAATATCAGTGTTGACTCATCAAGGAGAACATTGTTTTAGGAGACTTTGAAGTGTAGGCCTGGAAGAGTCCTGCTGCCTCGTTAGGAGATAAAGTTGTACAAAGGGAGAATTGCCAAGAAATGATAGTGAATTTCCTTCCGGGGTCATCTAACCTTGCCTGCAGGTTCACTGGAAATGGGTGACATTGGTACAAACTTCTCTGGCAGCAGTTTAAGGCATATTTGATTGATGCCACAGAAGTTGCTGATTTCATGAAACATGGCCTTCCACAAGCTTGACGTGCCAATATTGACTTTCTCACAACCCTTTGACCAGTAGTAGACAGTGATATGGGGGAGAAATCAAACAGTCCAGTGGCTGATTATCCACTTCAGCAACTAACTGCTAAACTAATAGAATCAGACTCTTTATAAGGGCTGTGATCACATTTTCTTGAAGAGTTACAGAATCTTTTGTTCATTGGTGTGGCTCACAATGTTTGGTTTAGTCAGTCTGTTGGCTCACAGGTGAAATAGAGGGGAAGAAATTGAAGTAATTAGCTGTCCTTGCAGAACTCATTATTGACAGACTGGTCACTCAGCTTAGTTCAGGTGCTATCCCACCCATTTCTGGATGGCTTCAGCTGTACAGAATGACTGAGCAGTTGGTGTGGGGATGAGGTCACAAGGTAGGTCAAACACTGCACTGTTTACCCATACTTCATTGGAAGTAGTATCACTCTTGTTTTTTATGTCAAGGTTCTCCTGTAAGATAATATGTGTGCTTAAAAATTACTAATCTTAGCCGACAGACTATTGGGCAGCTAATTACTACTGGGTGAGGAAGAGCTGATCTTCTTTAAGGGAGTGACTCTAGATAGATAGGCTGACTAGACCCTAGTGGATGAACTTGCACTGAGGGACATCAGGGGGACACTAACTTGACTCAGTAGGCCTTAACATAAATGACAGAATGTGTGAAATCCAGTGGGGGCCTATGGAAGGGTGCCGATGGGGAATGAGGTATAAAAATGACTAAGCTGTTATGTATGAAAGACATAAAAATTCAATGAAAAAGGCATCCAGCTCTACATAATTATAACCTGTATAAATAAACAAAATAAAAAGACTATATGTAATTTATTAAAATGTCATAATAAAACCAATTATGGATATAATATATGCTAATAAAATTAACAGGTAAAAAATTCCTAATGAGGGGCTGGAGAGATGGCTCAGGGCTGCTCTTGCAGAGGACCCAGTTCTGTTCCCAGCACCCACATGGCAGCTACAACCATTTATAACTCCAGTTTCAGGGGACCTGATGCCTTCTTCTGTCCTCCATATACTTTGCAACATGAGTGCACTTACATACATGAAGCAGTACACTAATACACATAAATAAAAATAATAAATAAAAAATTTAAATTCCTAATGTACTTATACATGGGTCCCATCTACTGAGTTCCTGATATAATTGGGCTAGTATGTATTCTGGGAATTAGAATTTTTAAAGGGTCCCTGGCATGGTGGCGCATGCCTTTAATCCCAGCACTTGGGAGGCAGAGGCAAGCAGATCTCTGTGAGTTTGAGGCCAGCCTGGTCTATGTAGTGAGTTCCAGGCCATCTTGCTTTACAGGGAGAGCCTGTCTCAAAAAGACCAAAAAAAAAAAAAAAAAAAGGGTCCCTGTGATTCTAGCCATTGAGACAGCTGTGAAAGACTTGAAAGGCTACATAGCACAGACTTCCAGGGAGACCATTCAAGGGCAAAGAGTTGAGAATAACAGCCCAGAGAACACTGACTGTCACAAGTACAAGCTTCACACAAACAGAATCACCCAGAAACTTGTTAGAAATGCAATGTCATGTCCCAACCCAAACTAGCATTATGAAATGGATGGTCCTAGAAATGTTTCACATACTCCAGTTGGCTCTGATCTACACTGAAGTTTAACAATCATTGTGAACTTCTTAGAACAGGTGTCATTCAATCTTTACATAGTATTAGGCCCATAAGTGAAAACACTTGCTTTATGAAAGATAAAATAAGAGTTTAATTCCCAGAGTCAGCTAAACTTTCTGGTCAGATCATTAGAGGAAAGCTACTTTTTGTGATTTATAAACATCTATCATCTATCTGTCTATCTATCTATCTATCTATCTATCTATCTATCTATCTATCTATCACCTGTCATCTATCTATCTATCTTCATCTATGTCTATGTATCTGTGTATCTATGTATCTCTCTATGTATCATCTATCATCTATCATCTATGTATCTATCATCTATCTATCTATCTATCATCTATATTGGTCTCAAACTTACAGCAATCCACCTGCCTTACCCTTCCCAGTGCTGGGATTGCTACCATGTCCAACTCTAATCTTTATCTCCATCTGTAGCCAGGACAGCAAGAACTGGCCTGGACTCTGGAGAAACAGAACCAATATATGAAACATATATGTATAATCTATCATTCTATCAATCTATCATCTATCATCTATTTATCTATTTATCTATCATCTATCTACCTATCATCTATATGTCTATCATCTATCATTATCTATCATCTAACTATGTATGTATGTATGTATGTATGTATGTATGTATGTATGTATCTATCTATCTATCTATCTATCTATCTATCTATCTATCTATCATCTGTGTAATTATTGCTACATTGTTAAGTGCTTTGAGCTTCCTGACAATCCTTGTTTCTTTGGAAGAAGTAATCTTCTAAAAATGACTATTTTCATTTCTGTGCAAAGTGTAAGATTTGGAATACAGGATTTGGATCACTTTTGATCCACACAATGAAGGCAAACAGTAAAATCCACGGCTCATGACCAAGTTCTCTGCCAGGTAGTGAATAGAATTTGTAGTACAAGAAGTGAACCTTCCTGATTAGTTTTCTGGAGGAGATACTGCTGGATATTCTAACTAGTCATAAGCACAGAATAAACTCAGTCTTTTCTAAATGAGATATTTTCTTTTTTCACTCAGCCAGGGGCCATTGAGATGGCTGTGGAAGACTTGAAAGGCCACATAACACAGACTTCCGGAGAGACCATTCAAGGCTTCTGGCTCCTGACAGAGTGAGTATATGGTCATGTGGAAGACTGGATTCAGTCATTGAAGCAATGTTTACAACATCAAAATTGACAAACATCACAGATAATAACTTAATTTCATAGTCCATTGCTTTGTTGACAGTCTAAATTTAAGACAGTGATGGAAAAATAAATTAACAATGTAGATAAAACTCAAGTATGCCATGTCTGTACCTTTTACATTGTAATAACATTTAAAAACCAAGGAAGTGTTATTCTACACCATTCAGAAACTACTATTCAATTCATAAAGTTCACCTTTTAAAGTGGTGAATGGAAAAATCTACACATATGCTTATAGAAAGGCTTTTGCATAAGGTAGAGGCTGCGGGATTATAGGGTTTGTGCGTGATCTGTGGCTGAGACTGTTGCTGAGGCATCTATTGTGAAAGATTAACATACTACTTACTTCAGAGGAGAACTACTAAGAGGAATTTCATTGTTTCTCACAGAACTTTTATTGAAGGATGCATCTGGAGTTGAGAGGAAAAATTGATAACTGACATAGCTACATTTGTGGACCTTTGTACTTCATTGCCTTTAAGGAAAGTCAGTAGTAACTCTTGGTTTGGGCCTGGGAGACTGGTGTATGGATAGGGTCACTGCTCTAGGTTTAGAAGGAAATATAGTTCTGTTTCATTGTTAAAACACTTTTGTGACAAACATGGAAAATATGCTTACAGTCCCATTAGGTTCTTCCCCAAATCTTGTCATTCACTATTTATATAACTTAGTATAGTTTTGGGGGAAATGCAGCTGAGGTGTCCATACAGCATCCTCCTAGAGAGACTGAGTAGATAGTTTACATATGGGTCCAAATACTATCATCAGAATGGATAGTAAGCTAGCATGCTTGTCTTTAATAGGAATGTGTCTATAGAAGCAAAGGGCAAACTAACATGTCAGTAAAGTCATTTCCAAAGAATTTCATCCAAATTAATTCAGATGAATTGCTGTATGATATTCTAAATTGGTATGGATATATTATCCAGTAGAACTAGAAAAATTAGTTTGAAGGCATTTGGGAGGAGGACAGAGAAGCTGGGTGTTTGACTTGGCGAGGGAGCCATTGACCCCAGCTAGATCCCAGTTTTGCTCAAAAATCTTTGAGTGCTCTAGGGAGACTGTGAGGATCCAGGCCCTCAGCCAGCTTGTTAAAGGGATTTTGGTTCCCACACAGTTATAAAGACAAAGTAGTGCTTATTTCCACCTTTCCTCCTCTCTTCATTCTTCTTGGCCCTTCTGCAAAAGGACATTTTTAAAAAGGAGTGATCCATTAAGCCCACACCAAGAACGTCTTGACATTGTGGAATCTCAGACAGTGTGTCATGATGGCGGTGAAGTATCTCTTCAGCATGGTGTTCTCCAGGTGTCTGTGTCTACAGTGCTATGAGACAGAGGAGATGGGCTCTTCCCTTCCCTCTATCATACCAGGACAAAGTGGAAGAGACTGTTTTATTCCTAACTGGGAAGACCTGCCTATAGCAGCAGGATCAAGTAATTATTGTTCTTACTTTTGTAAAAAACATTTAAAATATATTACATTACCTACTTCCTTCAACCTACCTACTTTTATCCCAGGACTTTGGTACGATAAATAAATGAAACCACATTTCTGTCAAATATACAGAAAATAGAATAAATGTGGAAGCCAACAGGAATTCAGATGTCATAGAAATGGATGAATGAGCATGGAACTAGAAGATATGGATTTGAATCCTGTATTTGCTAGTTCTTGTCAGTGTAGCTATCAGACCTTGAGTAGGGTTTACTTTTTTAAATTTCAAGGGTTTT